GACACAACCTATTGGTCATATTAACCTGTCAGATTTGACACCCAGTGGGACACAACCTATTGGTCATATTAACCTGTCAGATTTGACACCCAGTGGGACACAACCTATTGGTCATATTAACCTGTCAAATTTGACACCCAGTGGGACACAACCTATTGGTCATATTAACCTGTCAAATTTGACACCCAGTGGGACACAACCTATTGGTCAGATTAACATTTCTTATCTGGCACACTGTGTAACCTGTTTGTTATATCTGCATCACCCACTGATGATGTGCATCGCACTGCCAATAGGTCACTGTGATCCCCACCTCAAAGTAATATCAGGAACATCTTGTCCAGGTCGTAACTTTTAATATTTTGATGAATCTTGCAGTATACCTGCATCACCCACAATTGATATGCAGTGCAGTCATAGTGCACTGTCCTACATGATCTTGACCTCAAAGTAAAAGGTTAAATAAGTGCATAATTTTCAGCTGTAACTTTTACACTGTTATGGTATTGTGACCTTCCACATAACTTTTTACATGTATTTCTATATGTGTTATAAAGTATATCTACATTACCCAGAGGTTGTGCAGTGCTCTTTATTTATGTCCCTATGACCTTCATCATGATCTGTAGGTCAATGGTGAAATGCTAATAACGGGATCGAGACAATAGAGTTTGTTCACAAAAACAAATATCAAGGTCAATGGACAACAGTGAAAAAACTAAGAAAATACAAAGTATTTGTTTCATATTTATTGAACATTTATAAAAGATTAATTTATGTGTACGGACAAAATTCACACCACGTTTCTTGGAGGACTACCACCAGAAAACACATTAAAACCAGTTACTAAGTACAGAATTCATAAATAGTTTTAACCGATATGGATTGTTTACCGAAGATACATTCAAAATTCCAGGTATTTGTGATGAATACCAGGCATCTATTATGTTAGTGCTCACACTCCACAATTCTACTCCACAAACTGAAGGTTTCTACTGACAATGTAAAATTTGTTCTTGATTCATAATGGTAGAATACAAGGAAATGTGAAGTGATTCATTTATAATCACAGAGAAATAAACTGTTGATGGACACTACTTAACTGGAGCTATCTGGTCACCTGTATGTGGTCCCCTCAGCCCCGGAGAGCTGTATTGTCAGATGTTTTTATACTGTACATAACCTGTATATCATGCCATATATTTTCTGCATACATTTGCACAAAGCCTTGATAATGAAAGTCTCCAGCTTTTCTATGTAGCGTTATACTTACACACATTGTTAAGAGAAAATTAAAGTCCTTGCATATAGTATAGGTTTCGCAAAATCAGGTATGTATAATCTAAAAGTAATCCTGAGAAACAGAACTGGGTCAAGCCGACCATTTAAATGTAAAGCATGCTCTATTTTGATAATGTATTTTTTTGCAATTATTTGAAAGAAAAAAAAATATACAAAATATTTATTAAATGCAAATTTCATTATTCCACTAAATAGAAACCTTTTCATATCCTAGTGCAAATGAGCATGTCAACTAAATACTGCAAAGTTTTACTTTAACATATTAAAACAAAGAATTTTCACAGCAGTTATAAATACTTTTTAAAAGCGCCATTTTTGTGTCTTGTGTCAAAGAATTTGTTCATCAACATTAAATGTTAAGAAAATCTGATTTCTTAAATCCATTTGGATTTGTTATGAATAGGTTTCATGGTAAGAGCCTTTCTACCTTGTTAATTTCTCTGACTTCCACAATAACTTGTTTGAAGTAATCAGAGCAATTTTTGTATTTCATGACAATTGATACTATGGACGGACAAAAAACAAAATACTGGGCCTGTATTCATGAAACTGTTCATATGCTCAAACTCAGATTCTGTGCGCAAGCTCAATTTCTTGCCCGGTGATAAATTGATAAATTAACATTTTGTCAGTTATTTAGAAGAATTTCGGAAAAACATTAAGCCAAGTACCATTTCAGCATTTAAACTTTTCTTTGAAACAGTATCACATGATTGAAATGGGTTATGATAAAGCTGCTTTGAGCACAGAATTCATGCTTGAGCATGAGAACAGCTTTATGAGTATGAACGCAGGTCTGGATGTAACAACAGAAACAGAGGGGATATTGCTGTTATAGAACCTGACATTTGACACGATAGGAATGTGCATTAAGTGTGGACAGACTAGGTACAGTTATATACATATGAAACACTAGAGATTTCACACACCTGTTTACATGGCTACGTCATTAAAACACACAATTTTCTTATCAACAAATAAAAACAGGTATTGAACAAATGTAAAGGATTGTATATGCTACACATCTGCTTCAACTTTCTACAAAGCCAAGCTAGCCACATGCCATTATGGTGTTTAATCTGGACTATCAACACAGTTTGAAGAGTAAGTCACTAATTGCTTCAATTAAAATGTTATGTATAACTGCACCAAATAGGAAATATAAGGTCCCAGCACATGTTCTAAAATAGTACACTGCTTCTCCAGCAGATAACAGTCTTACAGCAATGTAAACCAAATCCGACTTGAAGCATTGTTAAGCCACTGTATTTATACATGTAATGTGATGGTTAAGTGACTTTTTCTACTAAATGTACATATATATTGAATCACAAATTTTACTACCACAGAGTGATTTGAAGGGTATGGACACTAATACATTGTTTGCATCTCAGAGTGTACTGGAAACATTGACGATTTTTCATGCAGAAGAACTTTACTTCAATATATCCCTCTAAAGTCAGTCTGCTTTAAGAAATACTGATTACATTGTACTTTTACAGTACAAAATTCAATTAGAAAATGTTTAAGCTCTGTTGTTTGTTAAATATTAAGACATGAAACTCATCTGGACAGTTGCTTGGAAATGATATCTTCTATACAAGTATCATAACACCTTTAAACGCTCACTGCCCCAATGAAAGCAACAATACAGCCACTTTCAAGTTTGAATTTTATGAATATTATTGTCTCCTCAAATATTTATTAAGCACGTTTCTGACTCCCTTACTCGAATCAGACCTATTTTTTGTAATTGGATGTGATTAAGCTATCATCGAAAGAGAAGAAATCAAAGGAAAATGATAAGAACACAAACTAATCCCCCTTTATATATATATAAATACACTTGTCTACTGATCAAAATGTTTTCAGTCGTTTAAAAGAACTTTGTACAGTTTTAATGAGAAGTGTAGTAACAGATGTATCTTGTACATTTATGTAAAAGGTGGGCAGTAAAAAAAGGAGATCAAAGTTTTAACATTTTTACAGGAAAGTACTCGCAGAAATCTTTCTCTCATCCTCCCACACATAAATATACACATGACACAAAATTATGCTGAGTAGAGATTATAAGGTGAATAATGAAGTGAGAAATATGAATAACAGAAGACAAGATGAAACCAAGATCACCGTTAAGATTTGAGATTGTTTCAGTGTTTTGCTGAGCCATTCAGACATTCTTTATAAAGTCCGAACACAAACAATAATTTAACTTCACTGTGAAGTTTTCATCTTGTCAGACTATCACAAAGGACTTTGCCCATATGTAAGTTGGTCATACAGACTTTAAAAGTGTTTCACCCAAATACAGAGCAACAGATAATACCCAAAAATGTCCCCAAAAATAATCATTATGGCAATTACTATATATACAGATCAATTTTACCTGGTAGATAAATTTGTATTGCTGCTTTACTACAGTACAGACACAAGCCTTGTCCATGCTCTTACAATTAAGCTAATAGAGTTTACCAAAACTTAACAACAAATGAAAAACCAGTTTGTGAAAAGAATTACGAAGAAAAACAAAAATGAAATGATTTTAAATACAGCATTGCGATTCTAAAACAAGGTAAAACCTTGTGAGGATTCTTAATCTCTGAACTATGTATACCTTTTGCAAAGATAAATCCTAAAATACATGTATTAACATAATAACAGAGATGCTTTAAGGTTTTTAACTTATTTCATTTTTTGAAAGAAGAACCATATTGAATAGAGTATATTAACAGTGGAATAGAAATGTTGTTATGACAGTGTTTTAGCAATTTTTAGGCAAATGATTATTAAAACACAGAATTAGAACCACAAATCGAACCATAGGTATTCACCTTCACACCCTAGGCTCATACACTTGAATATCTGACTTGCAAAACATTTATTTTCAATCAAATCTTACATGCATGCTTTTGGTGTCTTGCTAGCTAAGCTCAACATTAGAGGCAATCATTTCTCGTTAGTTTCCAAAAGATAGTTGTCTGCCCTTTAATTTTGCATGATGGCAAGGGATGCCTTAAAAACATTTTTTTGAATTTGGAACTCAAATTAAGAATGTTTAAACTGTGTCCACACTCCAAAGTTAATGACTGTAATATACATTAAAATACTTCTTTCAATTGGAATATATGTTACAGTAACATAGTTCCCTCCATCTATATTCCCAAAAATACCAAAAAATAATACAGAATGGAAAGAGTTCTTTAACAAATAATAGTAAAAATTATGAAAAAAAATGTTTTGATCACAAGCCCACTGCTATTGATTGGCGAACATATTAAATTAGCCGAGTTGTGTGGAAATAAGTGTTATAAGAACATTTTTACTGTCAAAAAACATATATTAGCATAAAAATATATTTTTTAATGGATTGCCAAAAAGAAGCCCATGCATAACACAAATTGGTTTTGCAGTGTTTTGATTTTACTGATCGCTGTCAATTTGTAAAATCAACTTTTCTTTTTCGTACTATATTAGACTTTGTGGAATAGGTAAGTTGCTGAACAGATTTTTTGCATGTAATTGAAATTTTATCATAATCAATGTGATTCAACCCACTCGCTTTTGAGGATTTTAATCTGTTGCTTAGCTCCGACATACAGAAAATGACCCAGTAGCATGAATCAGAAAAAGTATATAAATCGCTATAAAAAGTATATGTCTCTCCTAATTAACCGTAATTATCAGATGATTTCTTACAATTTAAAACTATGCAGGGTTTTAAGAATACCAAAGAGAAAATACCACTCTAAGCTTTAATAATAGCCTTTCACTGGATTGTAGAATTTAAATATTTTAAGCAAATCAAAAATGTAATTCATAATTAAAATATCAGTGAAATAGAAACACTATGCAGTACCAAAAGGAACAATGTTATAGTTTGTATGTTGTATAAACTTTGTACATAAACCATGATTGAGATTAGGGCTAACATTATGACACATCCTAAAACATGATTTAAAACAGATATACCTAATTACGCTGCAAGATATGAAATATTGAAAATATTTGAAGTTGAAAAAGAAGACAAATGGTGTGATTTCATCTTTTTAACCTTGACAGTTTTTTCACAAAACGTTTCAAACACAGATAAGTTATAAAGTTGAAAACTGATTGTAAGTGGCGATGATCATAATAGAGTGGAGCTAGCAGCCCCTAATTCCCCCTCCCTAATAACACTGACTGTTAAGACTGATTCTGTACTTGTTGCTGGTCGACGGTCATCACTTCTACTGCCTGAGTGGCATCTGGTACCATAGAGTGTGTTTTTGTGGTCATTGTGTTGAGGCGGTCAGTGGAGAATTGGGACATTGTCCCCTGGATAAGACCGGCATGTTGTGTGTCTGTCAGATTGGCAAGTCCTCCGGTCATTGTCTGGTACATGGACACAGGAATGGTCACTATACCTGTAATAATATCAGAAATATAACTTACTGATATGTTTTTTGCTATTTTGAAAAAAGGCGATAAATAACGAGCCAAACTGTAGCTCCAAGAAGAGCAGAAAATATCCTCCATCGTGTACTACTATTCATATACTTGGCACCAACACAGGAATGGTCTTTATCAAAAATAAATCAGGTACAAGCTTGCTTATCATTTCCTTAATGATTTCTGAGTGAGTGTTGGTAAGTGAGGAAACTGATCAACTACAAATGATAATATTTATATTATCAAACAATCTTATCAACAATGAACTTATTGTCAAGGTTAAAAAAATATTTCACTTTCCTGCATTAATATGTGAGCATACTGAAATAAAAATTTATGGATAAATGGCAACTATCATGCGTAAAAAAATCCAAACTACAACGGCAAAAGATCAATTTTCAGTGTTGAATGGAACATTGTCAAAATCTGTCTCTTGTGACAAGGGATAAAAAAACCTCCCTGCAACTATTAAATGCAAGTCCAAGCTCTTACCGCCAATCTGGGCATCACCAGACAGGATGATCTGTCCGTTCTGGTTGATGAGCTGGTGAGTATTCTCTGAGTTCATCTCCAGAGACACTGGTGTCATGTGAGCACTCAGCGTCTGGGACAGGTCATTCTGATTGGACGCGACCTCGGCCAGCGTCTGTACCGCCTGTGTGGCCTCGTGCTGTGTCAGGTGTTGATGGCCCTGCTGCTGCTGGATCTGTAAATATCATCAACATTAAAAATTAGGGCTGAAATATCACACTAATTAGCTACAACATTTCAAGGCACGATACACATCGCAGTACCAGCTCTATAGATTGATATGATACAATAACGTCGCCTTAAAAAAATGCTGTCTTTGTTTTTAATCAAGTAACCATGATTAACCAGGTAACTTATAACTGTTTCAGCCAAACAGAGGTCATGGCAGCCCCAAACCTATTTAGTCAGTAGTACTTGTACTACGAAGCATACACCTTACTTCATAAGGTGCTACACACCAGGCCAAGAAAATGAAAAATACTTTTATAGGCATAGTTTGCAAAATATAGACACATTATAATTCAAGGAATCTGTTCTAATAGCAAGTGTAAAAACTTGTAAACTGAACCAGTTAATTGATTCACAGAGGTGACAGTTTTGAATTTCTTATTGTTATTTATTTAGCAAAAGACCTGCGACATGATCAAAGGTGATAAAGAGTACATCAGACACTTACAGCATGTACAACAGTGGCCTGTGTACCGTCCGGAAGGGTGACCACAGACTGTGGACCTGTTTCTATTTGTATGATGGACACTGTGCCGTCCGGATTGTTGATCGTCTGGACCATAGTGCCACCAAATGCTGCAGCATTTGTGCCTGTTTGCACCTGCATCATTCCAGACATTTCCTCCATAAACACCTGCAGCAGGTCGTCTCGCCCATGGTGTTTATAACAGTTTTTCACAATGTTTCTTAAAGCATCTGTCCATGATACCTGTAGATGAAAGAGGCGTTTTTTTATCATTGTACCAAAGTGTATAGCATTTGCAACTTTTGGATATTTCATTGCAATTGTCAGAATTTTCTGATTAATGCAAGCAGTATCAATGAGAAAAAAAAACACAAAAAAACCCCACAAAGAAGTAAATAAACCAAATTTTAAGATTAAACTAAATATCTTTATTCCAAGCCTAGATGAGTAACAAAGAGCCTGAGGTTAATCAAAAGTTTTTTGTGACATAAATTAGACAGCAAGTAAGGTTGCTCTTCTCAAACAGAAATGAGTCGATCATTACAGGCCTTTCTTCCCAGTGGACCAGTACCCACAGCAGTACTTATTAGTATGCTAAGTAATCACAGCAAGATGGTGTTTTTGTTGTCTTGATAAGGAAAAGATGATAGTTTATTCAGCACTGAATGATTTAATATTTTTTTTCTCTGGACAAGAAAATTATGATAGAAATTTATTCTGCACTTAAATGATCTAATATTTACCCTTTTCTTTTCTTCCTCTGTTCTGGCGTCACTGCGAACATTTGCCCACGGCAAATCGTTTGGCCACCAGATAGGTCTGCTTTCATCTTTGCCCCAGCCTGGCTTGCTCCTTCCCGTAGAATACTTTAGCATCTCAGGAATAAAGTTTCTTAGCTGGGCCTGAAAAAATTCCAAATATTATCAGTAAATATTTGGTCTTAAAAATATGTTGAATAAAGAGGTGAACATTCTATAATCCTTTTTCTTTTCATTTTAAAATAATTTATTAAATCAATCAGATTTAAAGGGAATCAGGCAACAGGCAAAGCCTATGCAAGCCCTCTCCCTGGAGGTACATCTCAAACAATGAATAGCAGATAATACACTAGGGATATTTACATTGGTTTGGAACATAAGGAATAAATCTGTATCAATGAAAATCCAGAATAGGAGGCACCATATATATATTTTACATGATGTAAAAAGGATAACAGTGTTATCATAATTGCACTGACACAAATATCCAATGGTGAGTTCAAAACAAAACTTGCTATAAGCATCATTGGTTGGTTAGATTCAAAATCATACTCAAAATATTTCTTCGTTAAAAAAAACAAGAGGCCCAGGGGCCTTAATAGCTCACCTGGTATTTTATTTTTCAATTTAAAACCTGCTGAGTACCATTCAGGTTTATCAAAGGAGTACAAGTAACAAAGTTGCATCTTCCATTTATAAATATTCAATTCCCTTTGCCCAAAGATTCTCTAAAACAAGTTTGGTTAGGTTAAAATCCCTTCAACGGTACAGAAGGAGAAGGATCTTTAATGTTTT